TTGTTATTTTGCCGAGCTTTGTAGATTTGAAGAACAGAGTTAACCAGCAGACTCCTTCTAGCGAATGCTGGGACGGACCAGACCCCGTATAATGAGGGTCACATGTTTTTAATGACTTAACCACTCCCTTTCTTAATTGTCGCTACAACACTGGCCTCCTGCATAACAGATCAGTACCCTTTTGAAAAAAACATTTTCGAGTTCTTTTTGTCATATACCCATTCGCTGTGGAATAGTAAACGTTGTGCTTTGCATGTTGCAACTCACAGCTGCAGAACCTGTACTGCGCACTGGGAGAGTGAATATGTGTTGGCACTCCTCTGAACCTCACCTTTGAGCCAGTTACCTTTTAACAAGTCAGGGGATACGCTGCCCCCTTACAGGGTTCAGCACTGACTGGGGTAGAGGCGTGTCTCTCTCTGCCATCACTGTATGCCTACATATGCTCAGGAGGCCACAGGGGCCCTGTTCTGACAGGAAATCTCTGGCTGACCGACTAATCTGTACCTTAGGCTGTAAGTGACATGACCTATGCTCAAACCAGCAACAGTTGGATCACAGGGTGCAACCTTGGTAGAGTGCCTAATGAGTTAGGGCCCCTGCATTGTGGACTTTTTTCATTGACAGCGAATAACCGCATGTATTAATGAAGAGTAAATCACTCGCTTTACTGTTCTCCAACACTATCACTCTGCACCTTCGTAATAAACTCTCTAGCACTTGGTAGCTTTAAATCTCTTCAGCCCTGTCTCACTGATAATGAGCTATAAAAAGACTATTGTGGGCTTGGCAGTGCTCTGCTTTTGTAATGAGCACGTAAACTGCCATTGTATTGTCCGGCTTTTAATGAGTCCTCAAACAAATCATTTCCCAGCTTCCCCCTTTTTTTTTCTGTTTCGTACAGTAAAACAACATTTTTGAAAAATAAGTTAAAAGCAAATCGGCAGTTCCAAGAAAACGTCATCTCTGCAGCTGAGCGGTAAAAAAGCGATTAAACCGACAATAATGGGAATAAGACCTGGGCCGTTTCCATCTGTGACAGGAGAGTGGTGTCATTCAGGTGACAAGCAAGACTGTTAGGATGATCCCTCTTTCTGATTTGCGTTTCTGACCTAGGCTCTGTTTTAATTGGAAAACCATGTTGCGTGAACATTTGACAATAATTCAGAAGGGATGGCTAAAGCATCTGACAGCCGATTAGGAACATCTGAAGAGGTATAGGCATAGCCTATACTACGCCAATATGATTCCTTGATTCCAGGATTATGATGGAAATATTTATTTCCACTAGGTAACAAAAATGTGCTTCATCATGGGTGAACAAGAACATACAAAAAATGACAGTCCAGATGAGATAATTTGGCATCCTTTTGCACATTGGCTTGTTTGGTTGTGAACTAATTTGTAGATCCAAAAATCACATCAGACCACTACTCCCCAGGTGGTCACCATAATCAGTATGAATAAGGAGTTAGGTCCAGATACCCAGGACTCTCCTGTCCTGACTACAGCTTTATTTCTTCTTTAAGACACATCCACACAAAGAGCATGTGCCCACTCTCATTTGGGACTGAATGCCAGTCCATCTCAGGGTCCCTATGAAAGGAGCAGTGAAACCTAGCTAGCCATATCTTTGGGAAGAAGGCAAGAGCCTGTATTCTTGGAGAAAACCTGCAAGAGGAGAGAGGAACATAGCCTGTACAGAAGGAATTGAACCAAGGTTACTGGAGCATTGAGACAACATTCGTAGTATACTGCTGTGCTACTTCCAGATGAAACCTACTGTTCTGTAGCAGCACAAGTCTGAATATTGGAATAATCAATCACTGCAGCCGAGTCAACATTGCCCTCATCCTGACAGCGAGGTTTAATGATCAAAACCAAACAGAATTCATGAGGGTGCAGTTGCTTACTGGAGGCTTTGGTCACTGGTTTGAACATTTTGTTTTACCTTTGAGGATAAACCATTTTCTAAAGGTCAGGGGTTCACTGACTCATCAATGAGAAAATGTTACCACCCAGTTTATTTTGGATGCAAAATCTAATGGACCTAATGGAACATAATTGCTCTTGGCCCACCTGTTCTAATGGAAATTCCAGCTGAATAAATCACAGAGGACTGTGAAAGTGACCAAGAGTTAGGCGTTGCAGCCGTTAAATGCAAATTGAAGCTCTGAGATTCCAGAACTTTTAAAAGTTGCGGACTGATCCCCAATACGAGCATTAAAACATTTTTCATCTGCATATGAATGTAGGGATGTTAATATTTTAAAAAGCTACATCATGAAACTGAATTTTCCAGCTTCATTTCAGCCCTCCGGTGGCCTAAATTGATTTTTTTTCAAACCTAATTCAAAGAAACGTCATTACCTGCAACAAGATGAAGCTGATCTGCTTCCTGCAGGACGTTTATAATTACTGTGTCTAAATTGAAGTTTCTCTTTTAAGGAACACCAGTGGATAGCTGATTCCCTGGTAGTGTTGAACTATACCAGCACAGAGCTGGTGAATGGTAAAGCATGTCATGTTGCAAAATGATTCAGTGCTTGACTGCAAGCAACCAGACACACTGACAAACTCCATTCTCCTTCGATGTGGTAACTGGTATACATATAGCAAAATGGGATCGATTTCACGTTAATTAATTTAGACTCATTTTTAGTTTATAAGGCCAAAATTACATTTCCCACATTGCTTTACAAATAAATTGGCTGACAATGTTTAATCATTTAGTGTTGGGAGAGGAATGGCAGAAGGTATACAGGTCACTATGGGGGTGTTTGGAGAACTATGACAGGCCCATCACAGCACATTACTGGATCATCAGCGAAACTTGCAGGATATCTTGCAAATTTCCATTGCCTAAACTGAATTACAGCTTATGTGGTGGCTTTCCCAACCTCTTATGTTCTCAGAAGGCAAACATGTGTCATGATGAACCGCCTCACAATTTCCTGTCATGCTTGCTGCTCTGTTATTTGTAGGAGCAGAAGTCAGTACAGTGGGCTTTCTCCCAAAGAAAAGATGTCATGAAGCACACAGTGTGGGCTTCCTAGGCCTTGTTCCTTTAATTTAGCCCACCAACCACAATCGCAGCTCTGTATTTTGCTCAGGCCTGGACATGGTGAACCTTGTGATCTGAAAACATTTTTTTTCCTTGTACATGTTTGTCCCCTGAACTTTCGAGCTGAAGCTGGTTCACAGTCTTTCTGTATGGCTTTTTCTCAATGGCCCTTTTGTGCAGTGTTTCCTTTCGAATTGAATTCTTGTAAGATCAAAGCAGGCGGTATCCTGTCTTTGTGTGTTATCAGGCTTTCACCCAGAAATGTGAAAGGAGGAAGTTACTTCGCTCAGTCCTTAAGCTCAGAAATCCTCTGTGTCAGTTGGAATAAAGATCAGCTGATACAGGTGTACTACAGGACCAGGTGCAAAACAAGTCCCTGTGCCCGAAGTCAAGACACTGCTACCTTGTATCAATAGGCACCCTCGACAGCTCACTCCAATTCAACTGTAGGTTGTCAGCGCAGGCAGTGTTTTGTCCATTTAATTGATCCTTCATTATTTAGTCCATAATTGCTTATTTGATTGAGTTAATTGGTTTAAAGTAAGAACTATGTGGGACTAAGACCTGTACAACTATAAATGAGTGAGTGGGAGAGTAATTTTTGTCCTGTCATGAAGTTTGTGGAAATGACATATTAGTTGACTTAAACTCACTGGGCAGAGCTGTGCAGGCACGCTGGCAGGAGATATGACCTGCTGGCACTGCTGCAGCTCTGGATATGACCCTCAAATTCTGTCGGTTTTGTCAGCCACTGAGAACAACCCAGTTCAAGAGTGGCCATTCTTGATACACAGTAAGACAGTTAGAAATGTCCTGGAGTTAAAGGTTGCTCTTAATCATCCGCTTCTGAAGACATTCATCAATCTGTGAGACTGTTCAGTTACAGTAAGTGAGGAGTGACTGTGACATTGAGGGCTACCATGCTGAGTATATTATTTCTGGATCTTTGAGTTACTAATCATCTCAACCTAAAACTTTAACTGCCTTCAAAGCTATACAACTGCCAGGATCGTGACTCTTCTATTCCCCGCTTAACCAGTTGTTTCCATTTTTTAAGTGGAAGAATTTAAAAACTTGCCATTCTTCAAGATGAAACATATTTAGTGCAAAAGATATGTTTCCTCATAGGCAATCAAATGACCAATTTGCTATGTATATGGTAGCAAAAACCCAGGGACCAGTCCAGACCATTGGAATGTACTGTAAGATCCAGGAAAACAAAATTAAACAAACCAAAACTACGTAGCTTACTAGAGTCCTTATTAAACTTTAGTATTTTCTGGAGTAGCTAACTATGCTTGCCCCACACAAACTGTAATCCAAGGTGGTCTACTGACAAAGCTTCTTTTGTTTCTGTGGTCTACCAACCCCAAGTGAACAAACTCCCTTTTATGAGCCTACTTTATAACAACCTACTTGTGAATTCCACAGTGTAACAGAGAAGAGATCACCCTATTTACACACTTACTTAGCTGTCCATTAACTGTTTGTACGTGAATCAGTTCTGAAACTATTTAGGAACTAGTAAATTAATTCCATGCTGAAAAAATCAGAATTTCAGCTGCTGATCCTTTCTCAGTTGTGACAGATCCTGGAGGATTATGGCACCTCAAGAAGGATCAGCAGCCAAAACATTGCGATTTTCTTTCGTCTTTTCAGTGTGGAATTAACTTTTACTTGTTCCTTTTCAGCCAATGCACTACCCTTGAGGCTGGTTTAGCGGCCTCTAGTGGTGAACTTATGGTAATGTCTCAGGCCTTCAGCCACAGTATAAATGGAGAAATAAATCAGTCATGTGACTGGAGGTCATGAACATCCTTTTCCTTTTCAATAGCAAGTGAAGTGAAACATGCAGACCATGACTTCTCTTTTTGTCTCAACCAATGCTCAGTGAATGTTTCTTCATTCTAACATGGGCCGTCTGGCTTGCTTGCAGGCTTATCGCTGGCCGCGAGCTTCAGAGGAGGTGGGCCCGATGGACACAGAGGGTTCAACTGATGATGGGTTTATCGACGATGAGGATTTATACTCTGGCTCCGGCTCTGGCTGTAAGTATCTCAAGAGCAGCGTTGACCATGACATTTTTAAAAACTGAATAATGAAGATGACAGCACACTAGTGCAGTCGTAAGACTTCATTGATAATACTGTGTCCAACTTTGGCCACCATGAAGATACATTCTTGGGGTTAAAGTGAAGTCCTGCACTAAAAGATATTAATGTTTTAGCCTTCAATGGGGAAGACTATGACAAGACCCGACTGAATTATTCTGATTCCTGAAAGGTATTGACCAGGTCAAACTGGTGGAACTATTCAGAAGCAATAGTAAAACATGAACCAGAGGACACAAGTGGAAACTATGGGGTAGTGCATTTGCAACTAAGAACAAAAAGCATTTTATACAGTACTCTTGAAGGTGAAAACTAGACTTCAATCTAGAAATAGCTGGATGATCCCCTATCTAGATATGGCTGGATGATCCTCATATCAAGAACCAGATTAGATTGATCAGATTAGCTCCTCTCATTTGTAACCTCATCAATGTCTATGTCAAAATGGAAACTAAGTATGAAATGACTAGTTTGTGTCCTCGGTTCGTTTACAGCTCGAGTCGCTGAAGAGCAGGTCCACTCTTCTGAGATCTGGAGTCCTATAGCCTTTGAAAATAGAGCCAGCAAGTGATTAAGACCTAGAAACAAAATTGATCTATGCCAAATCATTATTTTAGTTTAAGTAGTTAATTTTACTTAGCTGTCCAGTGTATTTGTTTGCTATGATTATCTGATTATTATCTATGATTATTCCACCATAATGTTTCAGGGAAAAAAATCACTCTCTCGGAAAGTGTACCACAGCATCCGTGTTAACCAACCGAACTCAGAGGAGTGTGAGCATTATTCACCCTACAGTAGATATTTCCTTAATAATGTATGGAAATATTGTTAGATATTTGTAGATTTCAATATAAATATCACTGTTGCTACAGTAATTAACAGGCATTGTTTTTGCAATACACAGCATTATGCATAGCCATTATGCATGAGCAATACACAGCATTATGCATAGCTATTATGCATGAGCAATACACAGCATTATGTAGGACTTTGTGTTTGACTCGATATTTGATTGCTGTCCAGTTCATTCACAGTATTGTGCTTCCTGCTGCTCTCTTGGCCCAAGACCATCACTCATAAGATGATACAGAAATAAGAAAATAAGCTGGAATAAAATAATATATATCTGTAATTCACAAAAAACAGAATCATAGATATAGAAAACAGTGGAATTAGAGATCAAAAGTTATTCGTAAAAGAGTTCCTCATGCAGGGCTGTTCCTAGGACCTGCAGGGTCTAGGGTAAATCTATTCTGAGAAGTTTTATGTAATGTCCTCTTACAAAAATGTATTGTTTACTGTGTTGGATAAGGAATAAACTGAGATGTCATTGTACTTATTTCCAGACTGTTTTGTGGCTTCATCAAGGGCATCATTACAACAAAGTCAAAAGTACTTTATAGTACCTTGAGCAAATTGCTACACAGAAATGTAATCTTAAATGTAGTCTGTGACTCACTGGAGTGTCATTTGACAGCCAACCTTGTTAAAGATTCCATAGCACTGCTTGTAGCGGTAGGGATGTTAACTCGGGTGACCTGGTTAAATTCCACTGCACAATGTGGCTTGCTTAAATATTCCACTAAAATCAACATGTCATTTTTTTGTTTTGTTAATGATCGATTGTGTAGTCTGGGATACATTTTGGTGTTGGATAAAGCGGGCCCCCTTCTAAATGTAAGTTGATTTGGGAGGCTTTCATGTCAATTAATTTATCTAGCACATTTCATAACGCACACATAATAACATTATTATTTCTCAAGAGGATTGCAGCATGAGAAGAATCTTCAGAGTACAGACTGTATTTATTCTGGTTTTACAGGGGGATAACAAGCAGTATTTATAAGATTACAGGCTCATGCTTTATCTTTTTGTTGGGGGGAGCGTGGGGTTGTGTGGCTGGTGATTTATTTTTTATATCCGTGTGCAAACTTGTTTTTTAAAGTTATCTTTCCCAGTTTCAGGGAAGAGAGATATTTTCCTTCTCCTCACAAAATTTGTTGTGTCTCCTCAGAAAGCTTCTGCACAGATTGTGAGCTTGGAGAGAGGGATTCTGCCTCCTGCTTTTGTAACTGTAATGATATTCAATCTGCTCTGCACTGGCTAGGTCACTCCAGGGCATTAATTAATAAAGACACAGCTCTGTTCTCTCTCGGTATGCAGCCTGTCCCTCGGAATTAGCAGATTGGTTACCCTGCTGTTGTCACTTAGAACTGAACATCGACAAAATTACAACTTGTCATTGATTACAAACCTGTGTGTTGAGAGGGTGTCAGAGGATAGAAGAAGATAACCTTAAATGCACTGCAGACACAAACTGTGATACCCCTACTATATGTGAGTTGTCAGCCTTACCAGCGATGTACAATATACTGTAACAGATGTTATTAGTGTTATGTATTTGGGAAAAGCTCTTTTTCAGTGGCTTTGCAGAAAATCCTCAGTGATTGATGAAGCAAAACTGGTTAGGAGGAAAACTAAGACAACAGTCTTGACAGTTTCATCTGTAGGGTGAAGATTTTCACTGATTACGTCATCTTGTATTGTGTAATCTGATCACAGAGAGACTGGACTCTTTAAACCTGCTTGAAGTCTTCCATAGTAACAACCTGCAAATGGAGTTTGAATATGAAGCTGAATTATGAACATCTCTTTGTTAACCGTTATAATGTGGCCTTAGGTCCCTTACCGTTAGGGCAACTATAAATGAAATTGAGACTAATAATATAGGTTCAGGGTTCTTATACGCTAATGTTTCTCCACATTGTAGTTCTTGAGTGAATCCTCTGCTGTTAATGTTTTATTAAAGCAATATGCCTGTTCAATATAAGACTACATGAAAATTTGAGATTTAAGTGCACGTTGAAGATTGGTAAATAGAACACTTCATTGCAGTAATATCACTTTGCTAGACAGACAGTATTGCTGTTACTACAGCCCCAGGTGTGAAAGACAAAAGCTTGATTTATGTTGTGCAATGCTCGGTTAGCTTTTATTAATACACGAGCCATTATCAGGCAGTGTGTTCCCCCTCTGCTGTGTCAGTTAGAGAGAATTTAGTGCTATTAGTACTGTGATTACAGGGCTCTGGAACAGAACAAAAGCAGTCAACTTATTTTTCTTGCGCCTTGTATGACCAGCTGTGACATTCCGTGTGTACTATATCCAGAATCTGAGAAGGGTGGTTGTCAGTACACAGTTCAGACTCCATTTTGAGCAACAGTGATCTGTTAACTCGTCTGTAAAGTTAATTTTTCTTTGCCTTTGTTAAGTTGTTTTGCATCACTACATTTTTAAAAACAATATGCAGACTCTGTACTAATGGAGAAACGTTTTTTTTTTACTTCTGTGCAGTGTTTCATTTTTTACACCGTAAACAAACCTTGGTGTGTCTGCTGGTAATAAAAATGTTTATTTTAGCTCTGATTTTGTGTATAGAACAGACTTCTAAAAGTGGTATGTTTTTGTTTTCCAGCAGATTGTGCATTTATTTGAAAATGTCTGTATAAATAAGAACAATATGAAAAAAGTGTAAGAAATTTAGGAAGTAGATTAGGAAACACTGACATCTGGCAGGGAATGTCAAAACTGGCCTTCATCATGACTTTAACCCTAAAGAAAATGGAAAACTGACTTTGTGAACATTAACCTGTGTGTTCTGGTATAAAACGCCTTTCATCTCTGTCTCCTTCTGTGGGATGAAATTTAATTAAGCTTGGTGCATTTATAATTAGACCTTAGACACTTGAGTAAATAGATTCTAAGTGCAGTGCATATTACAAGCTGCTGGCAAATAAGGTTAGAGTGAAACATATTTAATAGAGGCAAATAAAAAAAAATACAAATGCACACAAAGTGGAATAATGTGTGAAACTAAGCCTTTAATCCAGCAGTGCATTATTAGAAAGCTGCTTTTCTGGGTTGTGACAACCCCGAACATATGCTGGATTAATAGTAGGAGTCCTCTTCTAGAAATGGCTGAAAATTGACATTGTCTCTCGCTTTCTCTTATCCACTCCTCCTCAAGTCCCTGTTGTACAGCTGAAGCCGAGAAACAAGGTGACCTTCAGCACGGAAGTGCCAGTCTCGCTCTCCACCACGCAGGCCACCTCGCCAGCCCCCTCCGTGCCACCTGCTGCCATGCCAACAGGTACCCAGCGCCCGCTGGTGGAGCCAGGGGAGAACGAGAAGGAGAGCAGCTCCCTAGCCACGGAGTCAGGCCGCCAAGAGCCCGGCTCTTCCGCTTCTGTCCCCATGGCGACGACCAGCTCGGCCACCACCACGGCCCAGCAGACAGTGCCCACTACCAGTGCCACGGACCTCAGCACCACAGAAGAGGTCAGGGAGGACGTCTTCATCCCAGAGGAGACCGAGGAGAGACGCACCACTGCCCTGCCCACCGCTGAGCCCGCCGCTGCCGTTACAACCACGATCACGGCGACCACGGCGGTCCTCCGCAGAAGGAAAACCATGTCAAGCACTCCCACCGTTCCTACGGCGATGTCTACCACAGCTGCAGCCTCCGCCCCTGGCCGAAACAGGCCCTGGGCTCCAGCAACAGCCACCCCCACTGCTGCTCCTTCCTCTTCGACTGTGAGGCTCCGTCCTGCACAGACCACCACCCTCCTCCCAAGGACAGAGCTCCAGACAGAGCAGACCACCTCCGGCCTGTTCCTCAGCTCTACAGCACAGGTGAGACAGTCACAGTCCATCGGAGTCGAGGGCCACGCCACGTATTGAAATATTTTTTGCATTTTCCCTTGAATACATTTAAGAACTTCGTTTATTGCTACAGCACTCAGGATGTTTCTCATTTTGAAAGCTTTTATACAGAAAATATGTCAAAAACTGCCTGAATCTGAAGTCAGAGGTACAGAATCTAGAATCAGAGTCTAGATTCTAGAATAATCTAATACACTATCTCACAATGGCCTGATGCATAACTGACCAGTACAACAAACAGCAAAACTTTTAAGAACTACACAATTTTGTGTAGTACACAACTACACAATTGTTCTCTTGGCTTAAATGCAATACCAGATAGTGATGGGCAATTGGTGATAACACTGAAAAAACATGGGGACCTGGCCAGTCACAGGGGTCAGTGTTGTGTAATTGGATGAGATATTTTTGAGCCCCTAAAGAATCTTACTTACATCTCGATATTGACTAGACTAGACAACAGGGCCAAACCTGAACTTCAGCTTGGGTTCAGAGTGGAGCTGTTCCACTCAGTCCGGTTCAGACAGTGTAGGAATTGCACTTTTTCTATCGTGTTATGTGAGCATAGTCTTCTAATGCTGTGATGAGGCTCAATCCTCAGACAATACACAGCCGCTGTGAGGAAGCTGCAATGTGCATATCTGCTTTTATCTGACTCTAGAGTGAAACAGTTACTTATCCTTGTAAACAGACCAGGGAATGTCTGGGAGGATATAAACAAAACACCTGGTTTACTGAAGAAGTTGGTGCCCTACAGCTGCCTTCTCACATAGCTATGAGTCATGCCTCAAGCATCCAGGAAAGATTATTATTACTGTGGGTTAACAACATTTCTCAAATAGCACAGTGCTGACAAACGTTTGCATAAACCATAAAGCTGTGTGTTTTTGTATATTCCTGACTAAGGCTGGTTGGTGAGCTGGGACTAGAGAGGACAAAACCCTCTGAGTGTTTGAATCTAATGTGCAAAGCTCTAAGACACCTAAAATCTCTATTAGTATTTTCCACTATTATAGTTTTGCCTGATATTAATACAATGGAATATGGATGAGAAATAGCCAGATTTGACTTTCATTCCCATTGTTTGACGCACGATCTCAACTCAAGGTAAAATGTACAGAAGCAGCCAATTTGAAGTGTTGTAATAGCAATTCTGTCCATGTATTACTCAAATCTATTTGACTCATTTCTAGTTGTTGATCAATACTGACATTCATTCCTTTCTACACATCCATAAAGCTAACATGCTACTTTTGTGACTAAAAATGCAGATTTGTCAGATTTAGCTTAAAACAAAATGACTAAAATATAAGCAGAGGATCACCATATAAATGATTTTGTGCATCAGAAAGGAAAACGTTTAAGTGACAAGAGAAGAACAATGCAAATGTTTAAGATTTTTACCCGGAGGTTATGTTCCTTCGTTCTTTGGAATCAGAAAATGGCTATTTCAGAAAGAAAACAAAATAACAAGAGTGACTTAACTTCCTAATTCTTGGATGCCTGAATGTTTCCGAAATGTAGAAGAGGTATATCCTTGACTAATAACTGCTCAAGGGCATTTATTATGCTTCATAAAAGAGTAAGTTGCCTCGTATGAGATCCGAAGCACTTGTGACTGCAACTATATTTCCACATCAAAGACTCTACAATAGCTGTTGCCCAAGGAAAACTACTACTAATCCAAAATGGTACGTTTTTTTTGGCTTTCGGCTGCCCATGACCTTCACTTAATCCCTGTCAGGCTGCGGCAGACAGTTTTAAGAGAGGCTTTCTGAGGATGCGACCATGCGTGCACAGCCTCCTCCTTTTATTCTCCCTGCTCTCCCTGTTCTCCTCTCTCCCGCTGGTTCACACTCCAGTCGGGAGACAGGAGAAGCACTCGGCATCAGACTTGATGGAATTTGCAGACAGTTGGACGGTTCTGTCTCCTGGGACGCTCCCAGGCATTAAACCTGTAATGGAACCGGTTGTTGGTATGTCGACGGATGTCAGGACAAAGTTAAAGAGGATTCCGGAGTGTCACAGTTAGCGTCTGGGGGTGAGGAACCGCAGAGGAGAAGCAGAGGCTCCCCATCTGGGCTGATTGGTTCTGCTCATCAAAATGCCACTGTTGCTTTTCTAAGTCTGGGGCTTGGGAAGGGAATGGCAGTTTTTCTTAGTGAATTCTCAGCTTTCCTTGCTGCAATGAAGTCTTTAAACTTCAAAGTGCAGCTTACCAGGTTAGAAATGTTTCCAGGGTTAGTTGCAGTCACGTTTCTTGCGGATTGGCAACAGCACTTACTATTTTTTATATTTACAAAGCATCCTGCTCGTTAGGCCTCCCTGTGAGCTGCGTTTTCGAAGTTCAGTTGGCCATGGTTCAGCAGTCCAGTACAGAAGTGGCTATCGACACCATTGAATTCATTGTGCACGGGCTACTGAGAGTGCAAGCTGTTTCAAGTGCATGGTACTTGGGGTTAAAGTGTTGCCTGCAGCATCCTGAGATCTCTCGGATCATCACTCACACTCCTTAATAGGGAAAAACCTAAATGTGCCTAAATGTTCTGCAGATTTATTTTCATCATTAAAAAGTACATCCAGAACATGATGACCAACCAAATGGGAGGATAATTACATTAATAAGTACATTTAGTGCTTACTGCCAATGTTTAAGGTTTTATGATATCGTCCTCAGTAGCCCTTTTATTAGGGCATAAAACTTTCTCATACTTTTCTCACCCCCCATACTGTAATACACACAATGCAACCTACAGTATATTCAAAATGGAGAAATTGATTGTTGAAGTGGCTCAATACCCAGAGCTGTGCATGCCCAGAAAATGAATGCTATAGAGTGATCAACAATACCACATCTGGGCTTTCATATTTATAAATCAACAGGCATCAACATTTAAAGATATATAACCGTACTTATTGAGGATTTAATCAATCGGGTTTCATTTACTTTGTGCTTACTTCATTGTATTTTGTATTTTTCTCCTTCTGACTTGTACTACATTTCCACCACAACAGTCTCATTGTCAGTATTTGTGCCACCTCCAATGTGAACACCAAAAAAATGTGTTTCGTCACTTGTGCTGCTGCGCTGTAGGTGTGAATGCCCCATTAAGCAGAACATGCATGCGTCTACTTCCTTGCAGCTTATTCCTTTTCTTGAATTTATAGATATTTCTGTAGCAGTACATTTGCACTTATCACAAATGTATGAAATGGATATTCTAAGCAGTTCGCCGCACTCTGGGTCTTTGGTAAGGTTTTTCATTGATTTAAGTAAAACCTGTCATTGTCCTCTCCAGTATTTCTGTTTCACGGTTCACAGTTTTAGCAAACACAATAGGTTTGAATCTCTATGGAGGGTGTGTTAAATATTTTTTTTTAACGCTAGCTGGTCTTGCATGTGAATGCTTATGGGCCTATGAGGTTTCCTTATTTTCTACAGCTGTGAACTACAGCAATTGCTTTCTTGAAACTCTCCACAACCACATTATTAACAAAATGGAGATATCTGTAAATACGCCTAGCATCAATACCCTTGCTTGAGCAGTGGACTGCCCATGCTGTCTCATCACAGGCAGCAGCAAGTACAGTATAGATGTGTTTGCTTCTTTCCCCACAGTCAGAGTGAGAGACGTCCTGGTATTACAGAGTGTTTTTCCCTCACGCAGACGGATGTGCCAGATGGCAGCCTCACGAACGAAGTAGGCTTGGCCGGGCCAAGTGGTGATTTCGAGATCGAGGACGGCAACACCAGCAATGAGATTGTGAAGAGCAAAACCAAGGAGCCGGAGGACAAAGTGGAACCCGACTTCACTGGGAACACCATTGACACTGGTAGCTCTGCTGCCCAGCTCCCACAGAAGAACATACTGGAGAGGAAGGAGGTTCTCATAGGTGAGAAAAGCCTGCAGGATCAATGTTGGACCAACGCTGAAGTCCCAACAGCGCCCCCTCCTGCGTGTCCTGCGTGCCTTCAGCTTGAATCACAAATGTGACATCCTTTCATCCTGGAACCTCCTGGCATTTCTTCCTTTTCTTTTTTAATTTCTTCTTTCTCATTTTTTGTTGCAGTGAAATTTCTATTTTTCTTTCTTAATATTATTATTATTTTTTTAGGAAAAGTGGGTCAGACTTCAGAAGGAGATGGATGCTGTCTTCTAGAAATCTGCTTCTTGTTACTTGTTAATCTTCATTACTTCTGTTTCTCACATTTTCACTGTTTTCAAAATCAATATTAGTTATTTTCCCCTATTTTTCCCTTCCCACAAGATATTATATATATCAAAAAGAAATATTCACAGGTAAGTCTGTTTTTTATTGATGTACATATAGTCATATAGGACAGAAAATGGGACATATTTCTGTCTCCTGAATACTGATTATTTTCTTTCTCCAGGAAGAGATTTTATAACATCTGCTTAGCACATACGGATTCATTCCTGGCTGTCAGACAATCTGACAGGTCTGTTCTGAATTGTTTCAACTATGAGCACAGCAGCTGAAATTATTCATTTGCAGGAATCATGGAAATTAAGTTGTAATGTTTCTCTTGAAACAGCTCGTTCGAAATAGGACTGGAGCTCTTTTTGCTTATATGGATGATTCTTCATTTTCATTTCCCATTTTTCATATGTTCACATTCAATTTGGAATTGGCAGTTATTGCACCCAATATGTCTCTACAACCCCTGCACGTGGGTGAAAATAGGATTTCTTGTTCTCCAATGAGCCCAGTGTGAAGTTTTTAGATATTTGACATATTGCAAGTCCTACTGTGCCTTGCAGGGTGTGTAGCCCTAATCAGTAGAATGATGCAACTCTCACTGACAGCACTACAAATGTCTGAGCTCCTGACATTGAGTGAGTAAATGCACTAATCGTTATATCCTATTACAAGGAAGTGTGCATGTCATTAGTGATCTTTGTGTACAAGACACCATTAATGAGATAAATCTGAAGAATATTGTTCCTGAGTTTGCTGTGCAGAACAGTATTACCAGGATTCTGCATTCCTTCTGGCAGTATTCAACATGTATGAGAATTAATTATTCTGTATACAAAAAATGTGCTGGTTTTATCACAGGTTACAGGATTCATCTTGTTTACACAGCATTGAACCGTAACAGTTACCCAGCCTGAAGTAGTGAGTTTTGTGATGTTCCTTCTTTCTCTAGACAATAGCAGGCAGTCTTTCAGTGCCCCCCCCCGGCCTCTCCCACTCACTCTCCTCAGCCTCCGAGGGCTCAGCTAGAAGCCCCCCTAGCCATCACTGACAGCCATGTCCTTGTCTCTCTCCCCCAGCTGTGATGATGGGAGGCTTGCTGGCAGTGGTCTTCGCAGATTTCCTGGTGATAGGTAAAACAAGCAGATATAGCTAGACCTAGGTAGATGAACCCAGTTGGGGTTAGAACCCAAGTGTCTTCCCTGCTTTGTGTGTTTTCCTTGGACCTTTCCGTGACATGCAGTATAAAACCAACAAGTAGGACTTCCCTCTAAATCGACCACATCGAACTGTCATAAACCAACCCAGGCTGTACTGTACATCTCATCAGGCCGGTGCTGAAACAGAGCAGATGGGATAGTGGAGCTGTCAGAGCAGAGTTTAGTACAGTAACTGTCCCCACCAGGCATTGTTTCATACTGTTTTCCTGAATGGACTCAATGGCAGAATTTCATCATTTTATGAATGAATTCTATGATGGGGCAACTGGATCATAAAAACTGACTTGTTAGGTTATTTTATACAGGATCTTGTAAAAATGTTTTTTTTGTGTTCTTGATGATGTTCTGTTGGTTCAGTTTGGATTCTCAGTTGTTGTGTTAACATCATAATGAAAAGAATTGACACGGTACTGCACACTGCAACTCTGAACTACCCCACGATTAAGTGAACAGAATAAGTCCCGTATGCATGAAAAACTCTTGATTAATTATTAGTGGATTAGTTGCTAGTATTTAACAAGACTATGTATAATAGAGCTTCTTTCAGTTTACAAACAGGGGTACGTCTTGCTTTGCAGACACGAAAACACAGAAAGAAAGCAGGCGGACACAGATGCTACAGTATGTCTTCAACAAACCAGCAGGCAAACAAACATCATCACCTTACACCACAGATAAAGAATTATGTTAATTCTTTATCAAGAAAAGCAGCATTTCTGTGGCAGTACTGATGACATGCTCATATTTGGCACATCTTATGTCCTTGCTGTTCATAATGGTGAAGCAAAATGAATGCAAAGCCTTTATATGGGCATTTGCTTTAGAATAATTGTTTCTACACCGGCTAATCTTCCTTAAAGATCAGTCAGACCTGAAAAATAAGAATTACTTGTTTCTCAGGTTCATCTTCAAATACTACAGTTGGACCAGTCTGAAGTCTGATATGTGGGGAGGTCTTGCTTACTTCAGGGCTCATCCAGGGTGGTAGTTAAGAGTGTGCATAAGAGATGAGTGATTCCTTGAAGGCTGTCCTTAGCACTTTCATAAATCCAGATTATTCCTTACCACAAATATTAATGTACAAGGCTTGGAAACTGGCATAACAAGCAGAATGCCATGTGGCATTACAATTCTGAAGAGCTGTGTTCCTATGTGGGTGACTCAAGACACATTCTCAGAATCATGTGGCGCCCTCCTGGTTGAAGCAGTGGTCATCTGAACAGATGCTCCAGTCTTCAGCACTGCGATTGTGGTGTGAGATCAACATCCTTACCGTTTGGAAAGCACGAACGTGGCCAGTTACATTTACTGAGCAACCATATTTTCTCTGTCTCGTGGTCACCATGGCAGGCAAAAAGATTTTACCACAATGAAATGACAGCCTACACTGCTTCCTTCTAGTGGGAAAAAAACCAGAAAATAAAAAGCACCGAATTGACTGTTTTTGTCATAAGAAAGTTTGGGTTTCTTGTCATTTGCTCTCCGACCACATACCTCCCTTTGAACTGTAATGAACGCTCTTGAAGTGATCTCAGGATCCCAGTTAAAAGTATTCAATGCCATTTGGGTTTCGGATGATTTCTGGAAATCAATACAATTTTAAATGCAGCACTTAGGTTTTGTAGAATATCCTACATGGCTATTTCATGCTGAACTAATATTTTTGTAGCAGATTTCTTGCTCAGTATGTGGCAAAAGACCCAGAGATAAAATGATTAAAACAATTGGCTAAACTGGGAGAAATGGAGGACTGAAATTAAAGTTAAATAGATTTGATGTGATCTGTCGTTTTTTTAACTAAAAACAAGGCAAAACAATTAGCAGGCTGAAGATAGAAGCTAAGAGCTATTCATTTTGTTTGGTGATTTTTCCACCAAAACAGGGTTTTACGGGGATGCGTTTAAATTGCAGGAAATTTTTGTTCACCTGATGCATCATGGAACTTGGTTTCTGTTCTGCTTTCATGCTTTATGTACCGTACATTTCAGTGGTTACAGTCTGTGGTGTGTTAGGATCTGTCTTTGGGCAAAGCAAATCACATTACTGTCCCCTTCTCACCCCACACTTCTCATTTTTTTGCAATTCGGTCCTCGCCCCTTGCTCTCCCCTCAGCCTCTGTTCTGCTCTCTCTTTTATGCTTAGCTGAGCTCTGCTGGATGTCCTTTGCAAACACACAAACCACAGTCAAGCTATTTACAGAAACTGGCATTGACAAACATACCAAAGGCTTCAGGCTAAGGCACTTTCCTGAGGTAAAAAAGGCGGAACTCTGAGTTCTGTGTACATCACTTCCAGATAAAACCCCACAGTAAAACAGTCTATTATTGAGCCACTTCATGTGAGAAATTCAATTAGCCAGTCCTTAAATTGTTAGTATTTGCATTCTTGGGTTTTTGCAGGCTCCACGGCCGAAACGTTGTTTTCTTTCTTCTCTTTTCAGCATGGAATAAACCTATTACTTGTTCCTTTGAAGCCTGTGCATGCTGACGCAGCTCCCCACCTAAGTTATAAACAGTACCACTGGTCTGTAGATCTTTGCAGGGGAACACAAATCCTAGTCGCCAGGTGTCACATTTCAACATTTCATATAGATTTTCTTCCAATTTTAACAGCATAAGGTCAAGGAGGTGACCAGTTTAACTGATAATTAGTTGACTTTGCTATTTAAAGAAAACAATCCCTAAAAGACTGAGCCTTCAAGATGACCGATGTTGTGGGTATTTTTTGCTGCCTGTGTTCTGTTTGTGATGTAATTTACCAGCATTGGCTTTGAGTGACGGGACTTGGTAATTACCTACAATTCTGTCCTTTTTCTGTGACTCTTCTCCCCTCTCATTTTCTGCCACCCTGCCTGCTTCTCCTCTTGTCATTTCCTTTTCACTGCAAAACTGTCTTTTTGTGTTCTTGGGTTGGATTTTCCTGTAGTGGTTTGGCTGGGATGTCTCTACAGTATGTCTCACCTAAGGTCCTGTTCCGTTGAAAATTGCTAAATATCTCCCTTAGTTTTCTTGTACCCACCTCGCCTAAGTCCAAACACTATCTCAATTTTTCACCTCCCTCCCTTTTGCTGTAAATATTGCTGGTTTTTTTCATTTTACTCTTTTTTTGCCTTCCCTCGAGGTTTTTCAGTGTGTTCCAGTAGCTGTGATCTCTGAACCTGTGTAGTTGCCGTGAGGCACGCAACTGTGTTTACAAACAGCCCGTTCCACAAAATACAGTGTTAAGCCTCACCAACTGCTCTTACGACCATGCAAAGCTATAATTTTGCTTCTTGTTTTTTGCATAGTGACATGTTTACAAAGTGTCGGCTGCAGGTTCTTTCAAGATGCCGGCCTCCTTTGAGAGCAGCAGGGCTGCATCCCAGTGCCTGCTTCCTGCCAGCACTGGAAAAGCACCTACTAGAGGTGCTTTCATCACGTTACGGTTTGGATTCGGGGAGTCCTCTGGCGTCTGCGTGCGACGCCTGGCAGATAGCAGCCTGAAGGACACGCCCCAGCTGAATCAAGCAACGACTAAAATTGAATTACACACTGAAAAGTGGAAAGAAGAAACCCAATGTGTCAGAAGAAGCCTGAACAAGGCTCCTTCTTTCTCCTTTTCAGCGTGGAATTAACTGCACGCTGACACAGCTCCCTGCTGTACCTGCTGAATAAATGCAATGTGACTATTTGGGAACGGTTCTGGACTTAATACATTTAAAAACTTGTCAGGCTGCAGTCAGTCAAAGAAAAACCACAGGCACTTTACTTAATGCAGGGGTGCGTGATACTGTATTAATCAGCAACTGCTTCAGTGCATTCCCTCTCCTCTAATGCCTCTCCCTCTCTGTCCTGACTCCTTTAGCTGTGATCGTGGGTGGAGTGGTGGGGGCTCTCTTCGCCGCCTTCCTGGTCATGTTGCTGGTGTACCGGATGAAGAAGAAGGACGAGGGCAGCTACACTCTGGAGGAGCCCAAGCAGGCCACAGTCACCTACCAGAAACCAGACAAGCAAGAGGAGTTCTATGCATAACCAGTGGCCAACCTGAGAGTGCCTATCGCTCCACGGACTCTGAACGCAAAGAGAACTCTCTTTTAAACTTAAGAAGAAAACAAGAGAAAACACAAAAAAAGGAAAAAAAAGCTCAACTTTTTTTTAAATTTTTCATTATTTTATAACGTTCAAGCTCTTTTAACCTTTTCCGGCACAATTGTTTCAACCTTTGGTCCCAGCACTGAAAAAAAAGATGAAGGTTGAGGCGACTGCAGTTGAGCTGGTGGAGGGGATCGCTGTTGGGCTATCAGGAACCAGAGGCTATGTTTTGGAGCTGTAATTGAATCAGAATTAGGAACAATTTGAACTAATATCAGTCGTAAAAATCATTAGGCACCACGTACAAGAGGGCCCTGTGATTTGCAGCACAATCCTTTTAATGAAATGATCTTATAGTGACTGTTGTGTTACCAGGGAAAAGCCGTCTTTTGTGAATATCTGTCTGTTTGACACAACTCAAGATATTTTTCCCCAGCAGAAAGCATTAGGGCTCATAACTAAAGTACAGCTAAATATAGGGCAGGTATGTTGTCTAAACTGATTTACAGCAAAGTGGATGAAATTTTAATTACTTTTTAGTTATCTTAAAAACATTTCTGCGCACTATAATTCACCTATCTGCTGCGCTCCTGGAAGGCAGAGAATGAGACTGTCTACCTTCATCTCGTATTGCCTGTTAACAATCAAAGCAAACTGGAATAAAAAAAGAATGACAACAATTCAAATTCCGATGTAGTGCCTTTCACAACTTGGTGTTATGTTGCTCAGATCAGCTTGCATAGCTAACTGTTCAGTCCTTATTAATACATGTACAGTGGTTTGAAAGACATGTATCCAAATGAGCTATCTCTTGCTTTCTCAACAATTCTACTATGATTAGTTGAGCCTAGAATTTTTTGGGGGATATTTTTCTTAATAAGCTAAATTTACAAAGCTCTAGGATCCTGATTTACAAATCTATAGGCACCTAATTTATAAAGCTATAGGAACCTAATTAAAAAAACCTCATCAGGAGCCTAATTTGAGAAGGTATAGGAACTATTTAAGCTTTCACTGCAAGTTCGTTTCTTTATTGTATATAAGGAATAGTGCATATTTAAGAGTGATTATTGTATTCCATTTATCTGTAGGCTTTTAATGTGCCATAGAGAGAGGTTTAATCAAACCTCTCGACTATATTGAGAATGTTTTCTTGGTATACTCTGCTTAATATAAGGACTTTTGGGGATTGTTTGGGAGGGATGTTTCTCTGGGGAAGGGGATATACCATAGCAGATGTTTTGTTAATTTGTTTTCCTTTGCATAAACTTCATGCATATGCATGCTGTATATGCATTGTGTGCAATTTCAATTACTGTATTTAAAGCTTGAAGCTTAGTCTTAAGATACCTGCATCCCCTACCAAATACCCCTACATGTCTAAGTAACCTATGATAGCCATTTTGCATAATTATATTGGTACAGGGCTGCCTTCAGGCTTATAATATAAAACTGTAGGTTTCTCCTTTCCCACTGAAATGCACACAAATAATTTCCATCTGACTCCAGAATTCAGTCAGTTGTAGGTGAAAGAAGCACATACTTCCATGGACACAGATATGCTCTGAGTAGGCAGTTTAGTATAAACCTTTAGGATGCTTTTTAAACTACAATTTACAAGTAAGAAAGCTGTGAGTCTCTGTGGTGTTTGTAATTCACAATTAGTCTGAAGACTGTAAAGCAGACAGGAGCTTAGGACACTTAAATGAATCACTTGGCTGTAAACCCATTTGGATCCATTTTTTATGCTGTATAAAACAAAATCATACTGTTGCATAAAGCTTTATTGATGTAAATAGCTTATTTTTTAATGATTTCATTGATACTTGTAATACAGTCCTTTGTTTTTAGATGCATTATATTCATTCTTTGCACCAGCACATGAGTTAATAAATGCAGAATCCATTCTCACAGTGTCCACATTCTAAAATGAGTCTGGACAGGTAGTAGAAGCTGAGAACAATCAATTAAATTCCAACTTTTATTTAATAGAATGTGATTGTGATTCAGTCATAAAACACCTAACAACAGATTTATAAAACCCCTTGTGACCTAATAATGAAACTGTGGAATCTGACAGGTTAGCTTTAGGTTTAAAAGCAGAAACAGATGGAGACTGTTTTCTTCAGTTCTGGGAGGGAGAGTCGTATGTATATTACCTGATCACTTTTCAAGATGTGACTCTCTAAGGGCTTTATAAAGTCTTGCTACATAAAGGCTAAAACTGTTACAATATGACATTGGTGTCAGACCATCTCCTTGGTAAAAGAGAAAAATATTTCATCATTAACTCTAGATTGTTGATTGTGATTGTGTAAAACTAAATACCAGATTTAACCTATATAAGCACAAGCTATTACTTGGAGGTTCTGCAAGAAACAACCCTGTAGTGTTTTTCTTCTTTTTTAAAATCCCTGAAATACACCAAAGCAGGCCTCCGTTTAGTTTAAGAAGTTGCTTTAATATTTTATAAAACTCACTGACATCTTAGAGGGCTACACATCATTTCATAACTTGCTTGTACAGTAGATACAGTATTCCAGAGATTCACGTGATAACCTGATCATTTTGTAAGCTTGACTCTTGTTCTTCTGCTACGTCCTAGCTAAAGGCCTTTTTAGTGTTCAGTGTTCTTTGTTGTGGCGCTGACGCAAAGCTTTTGGTGCAGAATATTTCACCAAAACTGTCACTGTATAGTTTCTGTCTGAAAAATGCAGCTTTTTGCATCTCTTACAAAACTATATGAATCTGTCCAACATGATACTGGGAAGATCTTACAGTTATGTGTCAATCCTGAAATGTCATAATACATTTTTTATTAGTTAGAGCAGTAGTTCTCAACCTGCAGGATCCTTTCATCTTGTGTTTTTTATACCAAATTAGCTATTAATTGGAGACTAATTAATTCCTGTAATTGGACTTGATTAGACCTTGTCAGCCTGTTGCTGCACTCAGTCTTAGTAACTTCAAAAATATTCTGTAGTTCTGAAGTAATTCAAGAAAAGGAACCTCAGCTTGCTATTTCTCTATTTTTCTAAAAAGCTTTCCACAGGTGACCATTTAAAGGTGGCTAGATGCAGTTAGGAATTTACTTGCATTCCACACTCCTGATTGGAGCCAGGCATGAAGCTCAATAATCATTAATTGATAGTCATTGATAACCCCTTAAATGTTCAAATGAACTGAAGTGAAGTTACAGTATCAATCTGTTGAGATACTTAATTTCTGTGTGTCTTCAGTGCTAAAGTAAATGCTATCAGCTGATCCCCTGGAATAGGATAGAAAGTGTTGTTCCTACTTGTATCTACTCATCATAAACTGACCACCTATTAAGAGCTGTTAAGAATGCAATAAGGGGGTAAACTTTTAGTAAAAAAATGAGGCGTGACTCAAAGTTCATTATGGTAAAGTTGTGGGAGCAATCAACTTAAGTTGGGGATTTTATAAACCAAGGACTGAATGCAGAAATAGGTAAGCATTAACTAGCACCAGTAGATCAACTGCTTAGTTGGAATGTTAGAAGGTAGTTGGAAGGTCCTAGTCACAGGTGGAGAGACCTTTGGGTGTTCTTTATAGTGTACATATTGATCAACTGCCTGAAAAAGATGTGCCTAGAACATGGGCTTTTCTTTTAGAAACAGAAATTCTGACTGTGAATTGAAATATTTTTGAAGGGGCAAAGATGTAATCATAGTAATGATTTGGGAAATGCGAGAAAATAGCTGCCGGCTTCTGAATCGGTTTGCGAACTGCATGTTTCTCCCTCTCTCTAGAACAACAGTGCTGGGACTGAGGTGGAGCGTGGAGGAAAAAGTTGGGAGTCTTGTACCAGAATGAAGTAGCTGTGTTGTCCAAGGTGTCTTGTAATGTATTGATGGACAATGGGAACCAATGGGGTTTCCAAAGGTGGAGTTGTCAAATCTTTAACAGCTGTATATACCTGTATTTGTGTGCGTGTGGGAGACCTTGAGAGGAGCACACAACTGAGTGAGTGTGCTTATTCCTGTTCCTTTTCACATATCTACACATGCTCTTGCAGAAGATAGCCTGCAGATGACGATGCTACCTGCTGGGTAAGACGCAGCCGGCGGTTAGGGAAAAGCAGAAAAGATTTTGAAAATCTGTGTTTCTTAAAAATGTCGAGGGCCATGCTGTGCTGACTTTGAAGGCCCATTACATGCGCAAGTGGATTACACCTCAATGGGAACCAGATGAGTAGGACTGTACATCTCGGACCACGTCGACTCGGACTCTGGATCCAGCTCAGGGCTCTTCTGGACACTGGGATTGAATATGTTGATCAAGCACGTGGAGGTTTTCCATGTCCATAGTTTAAGAGCAGTAGTGTTCAGTCAGTCACTAAGAACCAGAGTCCTACTGATGCTCTTGCACACAAGCAACATGAATAAAAGCTGTTTCTTTCCCTGCTTTTGCCTTTGGTGTTTTCCCACTCCAAGCCAGTGCTTTCTGTTCATTTCTGGGCTTCACATGTTTTTGCCTTTTGATTCAAAGCATCGACACCCTGGTGGATTTTAATCATGTGTATATCATCTCTTGACCTGTAAGATGGTTATTGCAAAATCTATTTTCCATATCTGTCGGAAAAGACAGAATACGTACTGAGTAGGTTAGGTTCAGCTAACAGATGCTGTGAAATGGCGTATTTTGTAATTCAACCAAGAACTAGCTAGAAGCTGAGCTACAGTGGAAGATGTGTACAAGGACTGTTGCCTTTAGCAATAGCGACGTGAAGCTTATCAATTGGTTCAATTTTCCCTGTGTAAGACATTATATTCCCCTAATATCACTGTAGAGCGGATTGCTGGCATGCGTGGAAAGGAAAACTTTCTAATCACCAGCTTTCTTAAAAATGTATGACCTTTTTAAGTGTCAGAAAAGCATTTAATCAGTATGGAACAGCTCTCTTTTCTCGTCTTGACCTCTGCGATGTTCAGCTAAAGGCAAATAGTAGCAGTACTCATTATCAGTCTGAAATGCATAACATAGTGACTCCTATTTGTTTAATATACAAAGTGTGACTAATGTGTGAGATACTGGAGGTGTAGAGAAACAGAGGGGCTAACTGGAGCTGGGAGCTGGGCATTATCCAGTGATGTCAAAACTGGTTTCACTAAGGCCAAACACCTTCTCTTCTTTTCTTATTTTCTCTTTCCTCGTAAATGTGTCACTGCCAAATTGTCCGTAATAAAAGGTCTGATTGGGCTTCACTGATTCCACTGCTGTTTTCATTGGCTTAAGGTTCACTGGCTCGCTCCTTCTTGTACAGTGTAGATCATGAATGTCTGCTTGAGTTGCAAAACTGGACACAAAAGCATCTCCCAAGACATCAGATGGGTTATCTGTAAAGCCACTTGTACATTTTTCCTAACAATCCTGACACCAGACTCTTCAAAAGTAATTAATTATCACATCTATCTTAATTAACAAGCTTTAATAGGATCATTTTAACAGTGTTGCAGACAAGGCCGTATAAATATCAGAACAAACATCAAAATTAAGAATTTGAACTTGAAGGTATTGATATTGGTATTGAGAGATCTGTCTGCCTGGCATAACGTTTTCTTATGGGCAATATATGTCCATTCTTTCTTCAACAAAATAGCTTCCACACTGATCTGGAAAATTAAAAGCCTCAGGAAGCGAAGTAGATTCATACATTTAAAGTCTATCCAAACACTGCAACTGTAGCGATAATGTATGTAACACCTACTTTGCTTTACTCATCTATGTATAACTGCAAGTGTTTTTTTCCTATTTTTGCCTGGAACTAAAAGTGGGAATTTCCCCCCACTCTAATTAAAAAAAAACTTTTAATTATAGTTATTTACAACCTGGAAAAATGTGTTTTGTCAATAGTTCTTCTGTTCTGTTTTAGCATATTCAGCATCTATTAGTCTGTTTATGGAGAAACATCTCAGTGTTTTTGGCCATGTGACCATGTTTTTTGCAGGGTGATTGAGAAGACATTTGTGCCAGAATGAGTCCATGAGCAAAGAGTGGCCTGTCCTGAACTTGCCCACAGAATTATTGGCTATTACAAGATCTGCCAGCTGAAGCTAACTTTCCTGTGATTAGAACTTCAGTAAAATGTGAATGGCTAGAGATACAACCAGCATTGTCTTGGGGTTTTTCAGCTTCTCACTGGGGAGCATGGGTGGGTGGTGCCCTCTCTCAGAGAACATGGATCTTCTTGGGTGATTGCCTGAGAGAAACGTGAAACCTTTTAGGGCTTCAGACTTGGTTCAAGCATTTGATCATTATCCCACAGATGGCAGCTTCAGACAACTGTCTGCTCAGCCAAGCACATACGTGAAAAGTCAGAGCCTGTGGTTCCTCTTGTACTGAGCAGGATTACCATTGCAACAACACCGCATCAGTAGGGTAAAACTAACCTCGGAGAATAATAATCTCCTCAAGACCTTATAAAGGAATGGAGAGTATATCACACTCTTACTCTCTGAAGGCAGTTAACTGGACATGGCCTGAAACACTGTGGGTTCTTCGTGACAGTCCTGGGTCCAAGCATACATTCAATACCTTCTCTGTATACCTGGTCACACACATCGAGTGTCTGTCCCATTACATATACTCCTTGTTCATACAACTTGTTCTTATCATTGCCTTTTCTATATTGTAATTGTCTATCTTTAGGGGGCACCATTTTCAATGCCCAGGGTGTGCTTGTGGCCCTGAATTGGATTGCCCTGAAGGCTTTGCCAGCCTACCTTTAAAGTGTATATCATGAGAAAGTAATAAAACAGGGGATTTTCTTGTTACACTGCAATGAAAACATGATTTGTGTTGGTGTAGAGTTGTCATCTTTGTCATTATGTTTTATCAAAAAGAAGTTAGATGAACATATATCTTATTCAAGAGGAGGACAGGCAATTCAGGAAAGCTACAGTACCTGAACCACACGAAGAAGGAAAGATAAATGTTTTGCAATTGCACACACTATTGACTCAAGCCAGTGCTGTCTGGACTAAATGAACATCTTTACTCCTTGAATTACTGAATCACTTTCCTTGCCATCTGTTTTTTTCTGGCATTTTTCCTTGCCCAGCCCAACCAGCTGAGTTTCTGATGGAACTGGCCTTGATCCATGTTTACCCAGGCTTGGCCCAGTGGAGGTGCAAGGGTCAATCCCAACACTGTCTACTGCTACAATCCTTTAGGAGGCAGAGCCATTCAGTGATTATCCCACTGGTGGCAGCTTCGCACAATTAGCTCCTCAAACTACCCCCCCCGGATCTGACCTCAGCTGTGACCCTGGACAG